CGCCCTCCCATGTGTTGGTGGGAGGTAGGTCGACCTCCCATACGTGGGTGGGAGGTAGGTCGACCTCCCATGTGTTGGTGGGAGGTAGGTCGCCCTCCCATACGTGGGTGGGAGGTAGGTCGCCCTCCCATGTGTTGGTGGGAGGTAGGTCGGCCTCCCATGTGTTGGTGGGAGGTAGGTCGCCCTCCCATACGTGGGTGGGAGGTAGGTCGCCCTCCCATGTGTTGGTGGGAGGTAGGTCGCCCTCCCATGTGTTGGTGGGAGGTAGGTCGCCCTCCCATGTGTTGGTGGGAGGTAGGTCGCCCTCCCATGTGTTGGTGGGAGGTAGGTCGCCCTCCCATACGTGGGTGGGAGGTAGGTCGCCCTCCCATGTGTTGGTGGGAGGTAGGTCGACCTCCCATGTGTTGGTGGGAGGTAGGTCGACCTCCCATGTGTTGGTGGGAGGTAGGTCGCCCTCCCATGTGTTGGTGGGAGGTAGGTCGCCCTCCCATGTGTTGGTGGGAGGTAGGTCGCCCTCCCATGTGTTGGTGGGAGGTAGGTCGACCTCCCATGTGTTGGTGGGAGGTAGGTCGCCCTCCCATACGTGGGTGGGAGGTAGGTCGCCCTCCCATACGTGGGTGGGATTGGGTCCTGTAGTTGAAGAGTGTGTAGGTGGTAAGTTGTAAGGTGTTATACTTGTGTATGTCTATTGGTGGAGAAATGAATGGCTTAAACTGCTCTAAGTGGGATTGTGAATGTGAGTGGTAGAGCCATAGTCATCATTGTAAGTGCCCATTAAGCGCCCCATAGCCTGTGGGAGGCACTTGAAAGATTACTAAGCCATGTAATTGACCGAGAAGCGAAATCGAAACATTCTTAAGTGTCAGTGCTCCAAGATTTGGTATAATATGGCAATGTTTTCCAAAATATAAGTTACAATAAAAAGTTTTGGCCAGCATTCCACGGAATAAGATTTGATGTAATGAAAGTATTGGTAATTTTTATGAGCGCGCAAGTTTGCTGGTTAGTCTACAGATGGCGCTCTCCTGAGCATGTGTGCCGTCTGCCAGTATGATGAGGTAGCTTGTCGGCGTCGGACATGAGAATGATGAGGAATACTAGAACAAGCACAGTACCCCGAGGGTACTGTCGGGGTACTGTGACTTAGTTGACTGTTTCGCTGTGCGTTACGTTACGGAAATTTATCGTCCACGTCAGCCAGCTGTTGCTTTCGTGTGTATTCTGTCTTGTCGCGTTACACTCTCCGAGGGTGTCGCCATGTTTGTGTACAGTATCCACGTTTTATTGGGCTCAGGTGTAACCTCGGGGAATGTTGTTGTTGTTTAAGGTTTGCTACCTGGAGCAAAAAGCTGCAAGTAGCACGGGCTATGGTGAGCCCGTAGTAGGTAATCGTCACGACGGTGAACTTATGTGTTCCTCAAGTATAATCATTTTTCCTTAAAAGGAAAATATTCCCCTGGTGATGGTCCCGTGTAAGGCCAGTGTTCCCAGGTCTCAGTTTCTCTCAGTCTCCCCCTTGCTTCGCCCCGGGCAAGTCTTAAACTCATTGCACCATTAATTTAATAATTATTATTTATAAATTGTTCACTTTTTATTCACTTTTTTCACTTTCCACAATTTTTTCATAAATATTTAAGTTTCGTTAATTTGTATTATTTTGGAAGATATATTTTTTTGGGGGGTACCTATATTTAATATTTTTTTTCATTCAATGTTTTCTGTTCAATGAATAATACCCAATTTGTTTTATTTCAGTTCAGTTTACCTATTCTTTGCATGCTAATCTATTTTGCTATAATTTTATCAAACTAATTATAATATTTTTATTTTTATAACCATTTTTAAACAATTTCCATATCAGTTAATTATTGTATTAACCTATTACAAAGTTCCCATTTCTTTCATATCAAATTTTAATTTTATTTTATAAATCTAACTTCCCTATTTTTAAACAAAATCACCCAATTTTTCCCTGTTTTGTTTTGACATCCAATTTTCCCCTATTTCCCCCTCATTAGGGCGAGGCAACGGGGGATTATATGTTGGACCTCCTGGAACGGATGTCTAACTACAGGATAGACGACCAGCGGTGCTCCTTGCCCCACCCCGTCCTTCACACACAGGTGAGTCCTCCTCAAGTCCTCCTCGAGACACCACCAATATATACAGACCGGAAGCTGTATTCCACTTCTCGGCGTATGTACACTCAAGAGTTTACGTTGGGCCAATGGTCAGGACTAAAGTATACTTGTATACATGTTGGTAGGTCAGTAAACTGGTGGGAATGATCTTTATGGCTCGCCAGAGTTGATGACGCCTTAATATCAACGCTATTCCAAGCGGACGATGAGGCACAATAACGTGGCTGAAGTATGTTGACCTGACCACACACTAGGAGGTGAAGGGACGACGACGTTTCGGTCCGTCCTGGACCATTCTCAAGTTGATTGTGACTTGAGAAACGAAGAAACGTCGTCGTCCTTTCACCTTCTAGTGTGTGGTCTGGTCGACACCATTCCAAGCCTTAGTAGGTCCCTCGTTATCTCAACACCCAGCTTGCCTCCTCTACACCCAAGTCTCCTCCTCTACACCCAAGTCTCCTCCTCTACACCCAAGTCTCCTCCTCTACACCCAAGTCTCCTCCTCTACACCCAAGTCTCCTCATCCTGAAGGAGGCTGAGAAGGCGGGCGTGTTGAGAGGATGGTGTAGGAGTAGTGTCATGTTTTGTTAGGATGGATCATTGCAAAGGACAAAGTTGCCTACTCAAGATATCTTAACGTTTGAGGTTTTAGTAAACTTCAACTTCGGTTCTTGAATAATAAGAGATAAAGGTGTGAAGGGAAAAGAGGGTGGTGGCACAGACATGAAGGACAGAGAAGCATTCTAGTGCAGTTACTCATTGATTGTGCAACGGCATCCGTTTTCTCTCTACGCTGACTAAATTAAAGAAAACGGGCACAATGTTAGCATTCATTTATAAGCTCCCAAACTAGTATATTTTCTGTTTCACATACATGTGAATAGAGCTCACCTGAAAATCGTACGATTTTTTTCACGAGTTAGAAAATAAGTGACGTATTTGACCTACATATGGTCACCCACGGATGGAGTGCCACTCACACCAGTACTCTGTGAGTGGTCATCTTCAGATGGAGTGCTAATTTGCAATTAAATAATAACGTGCTTATCTCCGAAGTCAGACAAGCTCAAGTATGTTTATTGAGACAAGAAAAAATACATCTCAAAGGGATAGAGTAGCTTGGGCTATTTCTATCCCCTCTGTCGAAGCCAGACATAGACATACTTAATGAGGGGTAACTATAAAAATATGGATCCCCTCACACTGGCCTACAGGAACATGATAAAGTTGACGCCCTTGCTAAGGTTGCAGTAAATAAAGACAGTGTTGAACGGAATCTTGAGGTATCAAATAGGTTCCTTGAAAGTGTCATTAGACGAGAACTCCTGGATGAATTTGAAGTAGAACAGTGTAAACTGTAACTAGCAAGTCTATTGTTTATCACAATGAAATGTGTGAAGAAAAACATGTGTACCTTACCTTGAGGCTACCTTGAGGTGCTTCCGGGGCTTAGTGTCCCCGCGGCCCGGTCGTCGACCAGGCCTCCTGGTTGCTGGACTGATCAACCAGGCTGTTAGACGCGGCTGCTCGCAGCCTGACGTATGAGTCACAGCCTGGTTGATCAGGTATCCTTTGGAGGTGCTTATCCAGTTCTCTCTTGAACACTGTGAGGGGTTTGCCAGTTATGCCCCTTATGTGTAGTGGAAGCGTGTTGAACAGTCTCGGGCCTCTGATGTTGATAGAGTTCTCTCTCAGAGTACCTGTTGCACCTCTGTTTTTCAACGGGGGTATTCTGCACATCCTGCCATGTCTTCTGGTCTCATGTGGTGTTATTTCTGTGTGCAGGTTTGGGACCAGCCCCTCAATTATTTTCCACGTGTAAATTATTATGTATCTCTCCCGCCTGCGCTCAAGGGAGTACAGATTTAGGCTCTTTAGTCGGTCCCAGTAATTTAGATGTTTTACTGAGTGGATTCTAGCAGTAAAGGATCTCTGCACGCTCTCTAGGTCAGCAATTTCTCCAGCTTTGAAAGGGGCTGTCATTGTGCAGCAGTACTCCACTCTAGATAGCACAAGCGTTTTGAAAAGTATCATCATCGGTATAGCATCTCTAGTGTGAAAAGTTCTTGTTATCCAACCTGTCATTTTTCTTGCAGTTGTGACGGCTACTTTATTGTGTTCTTTAAAGGTAAGGTCTTCCGACATGAGTACACCCAGATCCTTTACATTGCCTTTTCGTTCTATGTTATGATTTGCCTGGGTTTTGTACGTGGTTTCTGTTTTTATATTTTCAATTTTTCCGTAGCGCATGAGCTGAAACTTATCCTCGTTGAATACCATATTATTTTCTGTAGCCCATAGAAAGACCTGATCAACATCTGATCGTGTATGGGGCAAGTAACAAAATTAGCAGACTACAAGATGTTGTCACAGCTGGAATAAGACTTGGTTACAGGTATCTCTGGCATTTGGGCTTGTATAGGGATCTAGGTGACGTAAAGTGCAAAGTGTGAGGACGAAGACAGGGACACACACTTGAGCAGTACATCTTAAGGCAGATAAAATTGAACCATCTAGAGATCACTCTAAACTCACGCTGTATGAAATGGCAAACCATCTTATTACTACAATATAAAATTTTCTGAAATCCTTGCACTTCATCCTTGTTTCACTTCTTGTAGATAAATGACATGAGAGAGTCAAGCATTGCACCTCATCTTTTCTATTCCCTATTTTGCATTCTTTAACTTGTATTTTTCATATTTAAAGTATTACCTTTTGGTGCCATTTATCCTCCTCCTCCTCTCCGACCATTCTCCCCCCCCCCTCCTTCCCCTCCCCCTCCCCCCCCCACCCCCACAATGACAGTGAGATGGTGAAGGTAAACCAGCAATCTATATCCTGGGGGGGGGGAGGGGGGGGGGTTAGGAACGACCAACCTATTAGTGTACCTCAGTTACCTGTCTGCTACCACCCCTCCCTGTCTCCCTGTCTCCCTGTCTCCCTGTCTGTCTGTCTGTCTGTCTGTCTCCCTGTCTGTCTGTCTGTCTGTCTGTCTGTCTGTCTGTCTGTCTCTCTCTCTCTCTCTCTCTCTCTCTCTCTCTCTCTCTCTCTCTCTCTCTCTCTCTCTCTCTCTCTCTCTCTCTCTCTCTCTCTCTCTCTCTCTCTCTCTCTCTCTCTCTCTCTCTCTCTCTCACCCACGCTTAACAACCCTCGTTACTTTAATTGCGCTGTTCAATTGTCACTAATTATTTAAATACAATTCAGTAAATCTTCAACGGAAAAATTTAATTGGTGTCAAGGCCTCGTTTGTGCGTTGTCTTGTTTGTTGTTTTTTAAAGACTGTAAACTGGTGGTTGGCAAGGATAGGGAAGGACTGTGCGGATGGGGAGTGTGGTTAACAAACGGATAGGGAACGGATTAACCAGGCGACGTCCAACAGCCTGGTTGACCAGATCACCACCCAGGTCCCCCACCCGTCCCCCACTCTCCACCCGTGGGTGGAGTGGGAGCCGGTCGGCCGAGCGGACAGCACGCTGGACTTGTGATCCTGTGGTCCTGGGTTCGATCCCAGGCGCCGGCGAGAAACAATGGGCAAAGTTTCTTTCACCCTATGCCCCTGTTACCTAGCAGTAAAATAGGTACCTGGGTGTTAGTCAGCTGTCACGGGCTGCTTCCTGGGGGTGGAGGCCTGGTCGAGGACCAGGCCGCGGGGACACTAAAGCCCCGAAATCATCTCAAGATAACCTCAAGATATGGGGAGTGTGGGTAGCAAACGGATAGGGAACGGATTAACCGGGCGACGTCCAACAGCTTGGTTGACCAGATCACCACCCAGGTGTGGTTAGAGACCGGGCCGCGGGAACATGGATACCCCAGAAACACAGGAACGCTCGTCTCAGCACCCAGGAACACATTACATTACTGACCAAAAACGTGACAATTATTGCGGAGCTCACTGATAGCCAGGAAACCTTACCAGAGACAGGGCCGTGGGTGGAGTGATCCCCGGAGCCCCCTCAAGACTGAGAAGGCAACGCTAGGGGGGGGGGGGGCAGCATCTCACACACACGTGAGCCAATTTTATAGCCTAGACTTCTTGTAGTGTTTAAAATTAACAGAATTTTCGAAAATATTAATTAAATAAAACAGTATTAACACTAAAATTAGATGGAATA